ACCTCAAAACAACCATCAATCATCGTCTCAACATAAGACGCTCGAAACAAAACTCAAGAGATCTTACGCCCCTAACAACCTCAAACTCACATCATCATCATCATCGATCAAAGGACTACGCCTACCGAAATAAAAGTCTGCACCGATTCCATCCGAACTATACTCGTAGCTAGCCAATACGGTAGTATGACAGTGCCATACACCCACCCAAGAAAATCACAATCTCAGAGGAATCATCCCGAACAAATAAGGAGCCTAAGAGGTTCATAACCTTATCATGGCCCAAAACCAACAAATCCACAATCAACCCACAAAGCCCTAAAGCTACGCCTAACGACTCACCTCACAAGAGTCTAAACAAAAGGTGTCCCCTCATCATATGCTTAGTCAATGGTGGGGTCAACCTTTGACCACCAAAATGACTAAAAGTCCTCCTATGACTATATAATTACAACCATGCCACAAACACATATTTATCCATAATTTTACACATAAAAGCATTAAATAAATAATGCTGAAAAGAAAATAAACCCAAAAAAATTCTTAAGCATGAAAATCCAGGTCCGGCGCCCATGTGGGACCTCTCGGCTCAAAAATCTAAAAATGCTAAAATGACCTATAATGCATTTCTAAGAGTTCTAACTTATAAAAATACCCTAATTACACTTCAAAAACCATATGGCACGTAAAACAACAACCAAAAATAAAATAAATAAGAAATTTAAAAAATATCAAAAAATACAAAACACTACAAGTATATGCAATAACAAGACTTCTACAGATGTGAAATGGTAAAATAAACTTGCCTCAAACGACAAATTTTGACTCCTCAAACCAGCTCTCAGTACCAGAAAACCAGCAACAAACATGGCTCCTCATCATCCTTAAACACTCACACTCAATATACAGATTTCTGAGGGAAATTAAACTCATAAATTGTTCTCAAAACTCAAAAATGTGGTTATAGTTCATAGTGTCTAGAGTGTGTCCATAATACAGCTTGTTTAGGGTTCTCAAAAGTGGATCAAAATGCTGTGAACCTCAGGCCACTGCTTTAACAGTATATATTTAGGATACCTTGAGCTGAAATTCTACCCTAAGAAGGAAATACAATCAACCCATCATTGGAGAAGGGAATATTCTGGCATTCCCTCAATGAAAGGACCACAAGGCCCTTGCCAACTCAGCTCTTTTATCTACTAGTGCATGTTGTTCACACCTTAATCACTCATCAACACATGCATTAGTTGTAAACTAATAAGAGAATTGAGGCTTAAGGCCAAAGAAATAAATAACAGACCTCGCATTCTTAGACAAGGACCACTAGACACGTGTCACACAAGTGTTCGTCATGCATAAAGACCAAAATACCCCTGGAATAGATGCTTGTCAATATTTACTAAAAATTGTTGTTGCATCTGCGTATATTTAAATAACTTAAAATTCTAAGTTGTCAACTACAATACAGCATCCTAAGCAAGTGTAAAAAGACTAGATACAAAAGTAAAATGACTCAAAAGCCCTTGAGAGACTCTGTAGCCCATTTACACATGTTGAACCAGAATTTGAGCTATAATGGCATGTGAAATGAATCTGCAACATAATGTTTCGTTCCTCAACCCATTTAAAATGAGCTCATATGAATGTAGAATTACAAAACTACCTATGTATATACCATAGATGGTCTGAGTACACCAGAATCAATGGGATATCGCAGTTTTAGGCCTGGGAGCACTCATTTGACATTAAAAGTGCAAACTGTTTTGAACATTAAGACCAACACAAAGCATAATTTATAAATCAACAACATGTCCTCCTTTACTAATAAATCTGGTAAGAGAAACTCGTACACTGGCCATTCTCATTGACTAACAAACTAGGTTTCTATCATGCCACCTACCACACATACCACAAACGTCCCATGACATCTATCCAACCCTAGTCATAAGGTAGAAACCTATGGATTCACACATCCTACCTAGCTAATCCATCTAGCACACTAAAATGCCATGACATGCATGCAACACAACCTATGCTCATGAAAATACAGCCTTAGCATTAGCCGATAAATGCCAAAGTCATATGCAATCTAAACTCATAATCATAGGATCACATACCACATCTTCATTGCACATATTGGTACGCTAAACACATAGTATGTAATATATAGCAACAACCTTATATATTACGAATGGCAAATTATAATACAACAAATAGTAAGGATATTATATATATGTAAAGCATACTTTATTGTTTAGGCATCAATTTTATGAGGACTTGCATTTTTGCATTTTTATTATTTTCTGCACATGGTGGCATTCATGCATTTTAGTGTTTTTTTTTTATTATTGTTAGAAATTATGATTTAAGTTGCAAATGTGGTTAAATAATTTAAATGTCATTATTTGTTTCATAAAGGGCATTATGGACTTTTTGTTTTGCAAATAAGATATAAATGGAAAAGTACACTTTTATTATGGAAAATAGCATAATTGGCATTTGGTTAGTTGTGAAAGGGTGTTGTGGACATTTTCATACAAATGGCATGAATGGGATTTTGTGTTTGTTAAGGGGTGTTTTAGTCTTTGTGCATGGTCTAGATTTTGACTATTGTGTGGGCTTGACACCTTAGTGCTTGGTGGCTACCCTTATGCAAATCTATGATATGTGTCATCTAGTACAATAGATATACACAAAAGAAATATTCTGCAATACCATTTCGTGCCTTTGTTTTCTTTTCCCTAGTTATCTTCTTTGCAAGCTTAATTTGGGATGCTTGTGTTAAGAATTTGGGGAGGGTTTGTGAATGAAAAAGATTCCTAGGATCAAATAATTCCTTTTTGATGTTGAAGTTGTGAGCATTTTCCACCTGTGGGGTTGTCAAAATCTGATTTAAAAAAGAAAAGAGGTGGTTGTATTTCAAAGAGGGTGTTCTTCATTTTGTTTACAAAGTTGGTGGCTTTGATTCAATCCTTGGGCTTTTAAATTGTTCTTGCAAGGATTTTCAAGATTCTTTGAGGTAGGATTACTTAACTCTCACACCCTTTACCTTTAAGGAATCAAGTTTGTGTGTTTTGTGCTTAAAACATTGCTGAAAAACGAATCTGCCAACCTTAATTTCTGCGCAGCAACCTGAATTTCAACTAACCATAACTTCCTCATTTAAAATCCAAATGGAGTGATTTATGTGTCTACATTGATTAGCTCAAAACAAGCTTTCCAATGATACCAACTTCAGCCTTAGATTCCAACTGTGCAAAAAGTTATGACCCTTCAAACATAGGCTGTCAGGTTCGCGCTTTAATCTGCAGAATTTTCTACACAGCAACCTGAATTTCAACTGACCATAACTTCCTCATTTTACACCCAAATTGAGTGATTTTGGAGTCTAAATTGATTATCTCGAAACAAGCTTTCCAATGATACCAATTTTAGCCTTAGTTCCAACTGTGGAAAAAGTTATGACCCTGTAAACATAGGCTGCTACCTGAAAATTACAATATTGGTAGTTATAATATTTCTTGAAATGGGAAGTTTTGTACTTGTTTTATTAATGTTATAAAGCACTGTAGAAGTTGTTATATGGTAAATGTGAGATAGAAAACATATTTCCTATGTTATGCAACCATGGATTAGTTAGCCTGTTATTTCAACATGCTTGTGTATGGATTAAAATGCAATACCATGATATTGTATATGAGTTGAGATTTCCATATTTATTTCATTACTTGTATATCGTGTTATACAAATGTACATGCATCTCACATAAGCATGGGGATGATGTTGAAATGAAAAGGGAAGTGAAAATGTTTCACTAAATGGTTTTGAAAACTGGATAACAAGGAGGTGCCTTGTATCTGTGAATTTGGAAAAGGAATTTGAATCAATGATTTGAAAACTGGATAAGGAATTGCCTTGTCTGTGTAGTTAATGGGAATCTAGAGGAGACGTAAAGAGTGGCTCTACGCGTAGTTGTGTCACTAGAGCCCCAAATGATCACAAGGAGTGGCCTTGTATCAGGGATAGATGACCAACTCCCTTCTCGTGGTACTGTGGAGCAATCCTGGGCGGATTACATTAACTTGTTTTGTAATGGAAATGGGATTTTTGGGAAGTGAGAAGTGTCAGTGGCATTAGCATTGGCATTGGTATTAGCATTGCATGACACATCATTTTATTATCTCATATTATATTCTGTTTTTCCTGAGCTTCTATGATTCCATTACCCTTTGTCTATTCTTTGTCTGGATTCACGGAGGTGTTAAGGAGTGCATTTTAAGTAACTCCCGCTGAGCTGTGGTTGCTCATTCCTATTTTATACACATCTTTTCAGGTCATGGCATGGATGGTGTGGAGGGTGTTCCTCCTCAGCTATAAACAAAGTCGGGGCTGGTGTTGTTGTGTTTTGTTCTGCATGATAAACTATGTTTTGGTTTATATTTCTTTAGAGTATTCCTGGTATGTAATAAATGTTATTTCAGACTTTAAAACTTTAAAGTTGTAATATGTGCGTCTTACCTATTTACTTTCAGTCTTGGTTTTGTAAAAAGGAATTAGATAGGTGGATGTGTGGTTGAGACAGGTTACAGGGATATTAGTGATTGTGAGACTGTAATTGTTTACGTGTTGTGTTCACAACCCTGACTACGGTCTAGGGGCATGACAGTTGTGGTATCAGAGCATGGTTCCTATAACCTAGGGACAACGAGTAGAGGTCTGTCTACAGCTATGTCTGTAGGGGTTTGCATTGTCCTATGTGCTTACATGTTTATCTAGTATTTGTCTTGTAAGCATGCTATGTGTTTAATGGCTTTTATTCATATAAGTCAGTTTAGGACTGTGGATAGTGACATTGTTATTGACTTGCATTTCATTGTAGTATGCCGCATCGTAGGAAGGACAAGGCACCGAGAGGCCAACAGATTGGGTCTGCAGTTGGACGGTCTGGGGAAAGTTCTACATCTCACCCTGTGGGATAGGGAGGTTTGCCACCACCAGTGATGTCTGCAGGGGAAGATGAGACAAAAAGACGTCTCAAACTTATTTCTACATTTGTCAGACTCATGCCTACACTGTTTGAGGGTGGGACTGACTCGTTGTTAGCAGATGATTGGTTTGACCAGGTGGAAAAGCATATTGATGCTCTGGCAGTTGAAAATGATTCTTTGAAGATTTTGTTGGCTACCTAAAACTTTACTAGGGATGCCAAATTGTGGTGGAAGTCAGTGTCTAACAGAATGGATGTGAACACATTGTCGTGGGATGCTTACAAAGAGTTATTTTACAATAACTTCTTTCCTGCGACTAAAAGATGGGAGCTGCACAAGGAGTTTATCTCTCTGTTTCAGAGCAGCTCTATGACAGTGACAGATTATGAGAATAAATTCACTTCTCTTTCTCGTTTTGCTCCAGAGATTGTAAGTAAGGAATCAGATAAAGTCCATAAGTTTGTAGAGGGACTCCATCATCGGATTAGGACTTTTGTGGCAATACAGTGCCTACAGACTTATCCTGAGGCTGTAGAAAGGGCATTAATTGTTGAAGCTGAACTAAATGATAAAAATCAGACTCGGGAATAGTGGAAGCAAAGACGAGCCAGTGATTCAGGGGTTGAGGGTCAGTCTAACAAGAGGCAGAAAGAGAGTTCATCTAGGTCTGGAGGACAGCAGTCAGGCCGACCTACTCCTTCTACTTCCGTACCATCCAGAGTAGGTAGAAGTGAGGTTATATGTTTCGGATGTCAGTAGCCTGGTCATTATGTGTCTTATTGTCCACAGTCTTTTTCTACGGGAGCTTGCTTTGGATATGGGCAGCAGGGCCACAGGGTTAGAGACTGTCCGAGGAGGACTGGTAGCTCAGCCAGAGGTTTTGGTAGTGGTCATGGTACACAACAGAGACCATCTCAGTCTACTGCAGTACAGTCTGGGTTTAGACCACCAAAGCCAGCTGTATCTTCACAGGGATCTAGACCAGCTGGGAGGGGTACTTCTTCAGGGACTGCTCAGCAGTCCGGGGTTCAGGCTGGAGGTTCACAAGCTCAGATATCCCAGGGCCGAGTGTATGCACTTCCTGAGTCATCTTCGGGACCGTCAGTGGTGAGGGGTATGTTTCCAGTCTTTGGATCTTGGGCTCGCAATTTGTGTGATTCCGGTGCATCTCATTTATTTATTTCATGCACATTTGCATTTTCTTCGGGATTGGAGGTTGGCTGCTTGGACCGAGCATGTGTATTGACACGCCGGTCAGTGGTTCATTAGTTGTGAGCAGAGTGGTGCGGGATTACGTCATTGTGATTGCTGGGCGGACTTTGGTTTTTGATCTTATCCTTCTTAAGATGATAGGGTTTAACGTCATTCTTGGAATGGATTGGTTATCATCATTTCGTGCCACCATTGATTACTTCAGTGGTAGAGTTTCAGTGTGTACGCCGGAGGGAGATTGTTTTGTGTTTGTAGGAGATCGGGGTGATTCCTTGGTTTCAGCTTGTTATGGTGTTCGTGGTTGGGATCGTTGTGATTTCTTCTTAGCTAGCATTTTAGCTGAAGAAGATGGTGATGTGGAGACAGTTTATGCATCAGTTGTTTGTGAGTTCTTGGATGTGTTTCCGGATTTACCTCCTAGAAGAGAGGTTGAGTTTGTGATTGACTTAATGCCTGGTACTGCACCGATTTCTATAGCTCCGTATCATATGGCACCAGCAGAGTTGGAGGAATTAAAAAAGTAATTGGATGATTTGAGGCTGAAGGGTTTTATTCGGCCTAGTGTTTCACCATGGGGCGCACCAGTGTTGTTTGCAAAGAAAAATGATGGTTCTATCAGGTTGTGCATTGATTATCAGAAATTGAATCATGCAACCATCAAGAACAAGTATCCTTTACCGCGGATTGACGATTTATTTGATCAGTTGAGGGGAGCTATTTGATTTTCCAAGATTGATCTGAGATCTGGGTACTACCAGTTACGAGTTCGGGATGAGGATATTCCAAAGACAGCTTTTCGTACGCGGTATGGTCATTATGAGTTCATTGTGATGCCTTTTGGGTTGACGAATGCGCCAGCGGCATTCATGGACCTGATGCACCGTGTCTTCCACAAATATCTGGATCAGTTTGTTGTAGTGTTTGTGGATGACATTCTCGTGTATTCACGATCTCGAGAGGATCATGAGATTCATCTAAGGATAGTGTTACAGATGCTGAGAGAACACCATTTGTATGCCAAGTATTCAAAGTGTGAATTTTGGCTCCAAGAGGTGAAGTTTTTGGGACATGTTGTTTCAGGCAGTGGGGTTTCAGTTGATCCTTCGAAGATAGAAGCAATTCTGGATTGGGAACGTCCAAAAAATGTGTATGAGATTCGGAGTTTTCTTGGCTTAGTAGGTTATTACCGCAGGTTTGTGAGGGACTTTTCTCGCTTAGACGCTCCTATGACTCGGATGACTCGAAAGGGGATCAGATTCGATTGGACTGAAGCTTGTGAGTCATCTTTTCAGGAATTGAAAATAAGATTGACTACAGCTCTAGTACTAGTGATACCTGAGCGTGGCTTGGGTTATGTTGTCTTTTGTGATGCTTATGGTCTGGGTTGTGTGTTGATGCAGGGTGGCAAGGTAGTGGCTTAAGGATCTAGACAATTGAAGATTCACGAGTTTAACTATCCCACTCATGACTTGGAGTTAGCAGCAGTTGTTTTTGCTTTGAAAAGCTGGAGGCATTATTTGTATGGTGAGAGATTCGAGGTGTTCTCAGATCACAAAAGTCTCAAGTACCTTTTCTCTCAAAAGGACTTGAACAATAGACAGAGGCGATGGGTTGAGTATTTGGAAGACTATAATCTTAATTTGCAGTATCATCCAGGTAAGGCGAATGTGGTAGCAGATGCCTTAAGCCAAAAATCTCGTGGAGTTATGGCTGGGTTAGCCATTCGGAAATGGAAGATGTTGGAGGATTTGGCAGAGATGGGACTGCAGTGTTGTGATGACAGTGTTAGATATGAATCAGCTTTTTTGTTTAGTCTTGTGGTTCAACCTACTCTTGTTACACGGGTGATTGAGTCACAGAGACAGGATTCAGATTTAGCTGTTATTCATCAGTTGATTTCCGGTAGGGACACAGTAAAGGACTGGACCTTGCATATGGATGGTGGTTTACGGTTCAGAGGTTTGCTTGTGGTTCCTACAGTTTGTCGGGAGGATGTGTTACGAGAGTTTCACACTTCTTGTCTTACTGTGCATCCAGGTGGTAAAAAATGTATCATAATTTGAGATGCCAGTATTGGTGGAATGGGATGAAGGTAGATGTAGCACAGTTTGTTGCTAGATGTCTTACCTGTCAGCAGGTAAAGGCAGAGCATCAGAGACCTGCAGGTTTATTGCAACCATTGCCAGTAGCACAGTGGAAATGGGAGTGTATTGCTATGGATTCTGTGACCGGACTTCCGAGGTCACCGAGAGGGAATGAGTCTGTTTGGGTCATTATTGACAAATTGACTAAGACCGCTCACTTTTTGCCTGTTAAGATGACAGATTCTGCTGAGGCACTGGGCAGATTATATGTCAGGGAAATCGTCAAATTGCATGGGGTTCCATTGTCCATTGTCTCGGATAGGGATGCCAAGTTCACATCGAAGTTCTGGAAAGGGCTTCATACAGCGTTTGGTTCACCGTTGCATTTCAGTACAGCATTCTATCCGCAGACGGACGGCCAGTCGGAGCGTACTATCTAGATCTTAGAAGATATGCTTCAGGCCTGTGTACTTGATTTTGGTGGTAGTTGGGAGGATCATTTACCTCTTATCGAGTTTGCCTAGAACAATAGCTATCAGTCAAGCATTGAGATGGCTCCTTTTGAGGCATTGTATGGTAGGCCTTGTCGTTCTCCTGTTTGTTGGACTGAGGTGGGTGAGACAACCACCATAGGGCCAGACATTGTATTGGAAACCACAGAAAAGATTAAGTTGATTCGGCAGCGGTTGTTGACTGCTCAGAGCCGACAGAAAAGTTACGCAGATAGACGGAGACAGCCATTATCCTTTGAGGTGGGAGACCATGTGTTTCTCAAGGTTTCTCCACGAAAAGGATTGATACGATTTGGAAATAGTGGCAAGTTGTCACCCCGTTTCATTGGGCCATTTGAGATTTTGGATCGAGTGGGCGAGGTTGATTACAGATTGGCATTGCCACCACAGATGGACTGGGTCCATAATGTGTTTCATGTTTCGATGTTGCTGAAGTATGAGCCGGATCCATCACATGTATTGAGTTGGGTTGATGTTGACATTGATGAGGATGTTTCTTATAAAGAGGGACCCGTTCAGATTCTTGACACTCGGAACAAAGTGTTAAGGTGTAAAACGGTGACTCTTGTGAAGGTTTTGTGGCGACATCACGGTGTTGAGGAGGCTACGTGGGAATGGGAACAGGATGTTCGTTCTGCGTATCCGAGTTTGTTTTCTTCCCCAGGTACGACTTGATTTCGGGAACGAAATCCTTGTATGTTGAGGACTCTATGAGGACTTGCATTTTTGCATTTTTATTATTTTCTACACATGGTGGCATTCATGCATTTTAGTTTTTTTTATTATTATTAGAAATTATGATTTAAGTTACAAATGTGGTTAAATAATTTAAATGTCATTATTTGTTTCATAAAGGGCATTATGGACTTTTTGTTTTGCAAATAGGATATGAATGGAAAAGTACCCTTTTATTATGGAAAATAGCATAATTGGCATTTGGTTAGTTGTGAAAGGGTGTTGTGGACATTTTCATACAAATGGCATGAATGGGATTTTGTGTTTATTGAGGGGTGTTTTAGTCTTTGTGCATGGTCTAGATTTTGACTATTGTGTGGGCTTGACACCTTAGTGCTTGGTGGCTGCCCTCATGCAAATCTATGATATGTGTCATCTAGTACAATAGATATACACAAAAGAAATATTCTGCAGAACCATTTCGTGCCTTTGTTTTCTTTTCCCTAGTTATCTTCTTTGCAAACTTAATTTGGGATGCTTGTGTTGAGAATTTGGGGAGGGTTTGTGAATGAAAAAGATTCCTAAGATCATAGAATTCCTTTTTGATGTTGAAGTTGTGAGCATTTTACACCTGTGGGGTTGTCAAAATCTGATTTAAAAAAGAGAAGAGGTGGTTATATTTCAAAGAGGGTGTTCTTCATTTTGTTTACAAAGTTGGTGGCTTTGATTCAATCCTTGGGCTTTTAAATTGTTCTTGCAAGGATTTTCAAGCTTCTTTGAGGTAGGATTACTTAACTCTCACACCCTTTACCTTTAAGGAATCAATTCTGTGTGTTTTGTGCTTAAAACATTGCTGAAAAACGAATCTGCCAACCTTAATTTCTGCACAGCAACCTGAATTTCAACTGACCATAACTTCTTCATTTAAAATCCAAATTGAGCGATTTTTGAGTCTACATTGATTAGCTCAAAACAAGATTTCCAATGATACCAATTTCAGCCTTAATCTGCAGAATTTTTTGCACAGCAACCTGAATTTCAACTGACCATAACTTCCTCATTTTACATCCAAATTGAGCGATTTTTGAGTCTAAATTGATTAGCTCGAAACAAGCTTTCCAATGATACCAATTTTAGCCTTAGATTCTAACTGTGGAAAAAGTTATAACCTTGTAAACATAGGTTGCTACCTGAAAATTACAATATTGGTAGTTATAATATTTCTTGAAATGGGAAGTTTTGTACTTGTTTTATTAATGTTATAAAGCACTGTAGAAGTTGTTATATGGTAAATGTGAGATAGAAAACATATTTCCTATGTTATGCAACCATGGATTAGTTAGCCTATTATTTCAACATGCTTATGTGTGGATTAAAATGCAATACCATGATATTGTATATGAGTTGAGATTTCCATATTTATTTCATTACTTGTATATCATGTTATACAAATGTACATGCATCTCACATAAGCATGGGGATGATGTTGAAATGAAAAGGGAAGTGAAAATGTTTCACTAAATGGTTTTGAAAACCGGATAACAAGGAGGTGCCTTGTATCTATAAATTTTGAAAAGGAATTTGAATCAATGATTTGAAAACCGGATAAGGAGTTGCCTTGTCTGTGTAGTTAATGGGAATCTAGAGGAGACATAGGGAGTGGCTCTACGCGTAATTGTGTCACTAGAGCCCCAAATGATCACAATGAGTGGCCTTGTATCAAGGATAGATGACCAACTCTCTTCCCGTGGTACTGGGGAGCAGCCCTGGGCGGATTACATTAACTTGTTTTGTAATGGAAATGGGATTTTTGGGAAGTGAGAAGTTTTAGTGGCATTAGCATTGGCATTGGCATTGCATGACACATCATTTTATTATCTCATATTATATTCTGTTTTTCCCAAGCTTGTATGATCCCATTACCCTTTGTCTATTCTTTGTCTAGATTCACGGAGGTATTAAGGAGTGCGTTTTAAGTAACTCCCACTGAGCTGTGGTTGCTCATTCCTATTTTACACACATCTTTTCAGGTCATGGCATAGATGGTGTGGAGGGTGTTCCTCCTCAGCTGTACACAAAGTCAGGGCTGGTGTTGTTGTGTTTTGTTCCGCATGATAGACTATGTTTTGGTTTATATTTCTTTAGAGTATTCCTGGCATGTAATAAATGTTATTTTAAACTTTAAAACTTTAAAGTTGTAATATGTGCGTCTTACCTATTTACTTTCAGTCTTGGTTTTGTAAAAAGAAATTA